TGATGACCAACAACGAGATTTGTATTGCCTTCTCAAAAAAAGTACAACTCCAAACTTGGCTGTGGATACCCCATGAAGCACCTGCCATGTGGAGACAAGTCAATGTCTTTGTTTACTATGCAGACTTTCAAGATGGGCTTTATATAATCATAGAGGTAGAATCCTTCCTTGAAAGGATACAGACTGGGGGGAAAGTCTGGATAACCACAGCTATTCCAAACACAATATTCTTATATGAGACTGAAGCCTTCCGGTATGCCCATGGTTCTTTGTCCTTTGTAATGAAGACCAAAAAAAGGACAAAATATGACTACTATGAGCCAGTGTATTCTACTGCTTGGGGGAAAGGATTTGATTGTTCATATTCAAAGCATGTATTGTCTGTGAGGGATTGGAAAAGATGCAGGGAGAACGAGAATCTAGGGGTGTTCCCCCAGGAGGAGATTGAAAGAATCCAGTCCCAAGACAGCTACATCAATTACTATAGTGTCCAAGTCGTGGCTCAGGCCTTAAACAAAGCGTATTTGTCCACATCAAAGCAGATTCCAGTGGTGGGTGGAGGAGACAGGTTGGAACTTCTAAGGCTACAACCATGGCAGGTATGTCCATTCCCTTTTGCAAACCCAGCCCTAGAATCACCATGATATGAGTCTAAGAAGTTGCATTATACCAAGTCATGATCCATCTAGTTCAGTCCTGTCTACAATGACTAGCTGCAGAAACATAGGAAGCTGCCTTACTCTGTCAGAACTCTACTCTACTCTTACTCTAAGTGGCTCTCTCTCTTGCTTAGTATTGTATCTTGTTGATTGATGGGCAGTGGTCCTCCACTTTTTCTGGATGGTTATCTTTCCCAGCGGTACCTGGAAATGAAATTGGGGGTTGAACCTGGGACCTTTGACATATAAGGCAGATGCTCTAGCAACTGAGCTATGCCCCTTTCCCCAGTATCATGTATTCAGAGATGTATAATCCACTCTTCATCACATCAGCAGGATCTGAGAGAGATTTTGAGGAATACAGTGGTACCTTGGCTCCCGAACGGCTTAGTTGCCGAACAAATTGGCTCGTGAACGCTGCAAACCCAGAAGTAAGTGTTCCGGTTTGTGAACGTTTTTCAGAAGCTGAACATCTGATGCAGCTTCCACTTGAATTCAGGAAGCTCCTGCAGCCAATCGGTAGCCGCGCCTTGGTTTCTGAACTGTTTCAGGAGTTGAACGGACTTCCAGAACGGATTAAGTTTGAGAACCAAGGTACCACTGGTACCCTTCATAGGAGCAGAAAATATGAATGAGTGTTAAAATAATCCAATAGCATTGTTTTCAAGTACTGGCAGAAATCCATCAGAGTTTCTGCCATCTAGGGCAAGGGAATACCAGAGTCACAGGAGCAGCACAACAGAAACGGTCCCCAAATCAGTGCAGCTTTGAAAGGGCAAAACGTGTCAAATCTGCATATAATAAGAATATAGGGGCAGATTATTTTTTTCCAGGCTTTAATTAGAAGACCAGCAATAGACCTAACTCCAAAAACATGAATGAATTACTTTATGGATGCAAACACTACTGTTCTAGTATATCTATATCTATATCATCTATATCTATATCTATATCTATCTATTTATATCTATATCATCTATATCATCTATATCTATATCATCTATATCTATATCTATATCTATCTATATCTATATCTATATCTATATCTATATCTATATCTATATCTATATCTATATCCGTATCCGTATCCGTATCCGTATCCGTATCCGTATCCGTATCCGTATCCATATCCGTGTCTATCCCCTTGCAAGATTGCAGTTTCAACTGCACTCCAAAACTAAGACAAATGGAAGAAATCTCCAGTCAGTGCTTCCCCCCTAACCTTCCTTATAATCTCTGACTTGTAGGGTGACCGGCGCCACTGGATAGGCCTCTGTATAAATTCCTTTAATAAATCCATCTTGATTAATCTTTACATATATTCCAAAACTCTTACTTAACCTTTCCTGATGTATGTAATAATGATGATTTTGGTCTCCCCTAAATGTTGAAGCAGAATGAGGGGACCTAAAAATAAATCACAGTCTCTATGAGTCCAGATCACAGCTTCCTCTTTCGTCATAGCTTCATCCATTCCTGAAAGAAGTGCATCTCTATTCTAATACTTCAGCTGATGGACAGTACTTGGATGAAAATGGGGCACTGGCCGTTGACTTCGACATCGTGAATTGGGTGCTCTTTCCTAACAACTCTCGTGGTAGAGTGAAAATTGGGAAAATAGAGAGACAGACAGCTTCAAATCAAAAGATCACCATTAACAAGGGAGAAATTGTATGGCCCAAGCTGTTTGAGAAGGTGGCATAAATTTTTGTCATTTTACTATGTGCTAATTGTTAGAATTCCTTCTCCATGATTGCAGTCATGGGATTTTTGTATATGACATGACGGTGTATGTTTTGACTCCACAGAGTGGGAAGTGACGGAGACAGGATGTTTGTGTTACTGTGTTCCGTGAAGTGGTTGTTATTTTCCTCTTTGCTGTCTGGTGCTAGAGAGAGAGGGAGCCATGTTGCAGTGCTCCGTGTGTGTTTATATGTAAATAAAGTAGATTAGCCAAAATGCTGAGTTGCCGAGGTCTGTTACGCAAGCTGCAAAGACTCTGCGGATCCCTAAGTATGCCGATGTCAGTTGGCATCGGTCGCTGTGATGTTCTGGCTAAAGAAAGCTTTTGAAGCTCCCGAACGATTGACCAGGAGAGAGGGAACATGCCAGTCGGGCATGTGTCTTTGCCAGGGTCCTACTCAAGTGTAGGACGAGCTCCTGACACTAATAGCATGTTCAATTGGTGGTGGTGGTGGGGAGGTTATTGGATTGTTTATGTTTTTATTTTGGTTATGCTTATGTATTTTTGTGTTTTTATACTGTTATTTTATCCTGTGCACTGCCCTGAAACCCGCAGGTATAAGGTGGTATACAAATTCAGTAAATAATAATAGCAATAAAGCCTAATATAGATGAGGCTTTGAGTGTATGCTTACGAACACTTCCCTGGAACTAAGTACCACTGTGCTTAATGGAGTACAATCTTGAGTAAGACTGTATAAAATGTCGCAGGGAACAGGAGACTTTCCAAAGCAGAGTAGAACAGCTTGCCCCAACTTGGTGCTCTCTCAAATGAAGTGGGGAAGGGAGTGTTTAAGAGCGCCTCCCACACTCGCTTCGTTGCCCAACAGCAACACAACAGCCCTGCAGTGAGGCCAGTGGGTCTTACCCTCCGGTAGTTACTGCCACGACCATTCTTCTTACTCCTGCAGCCCTAGGTGGGAGGGAACCTGGGATGCACCAAAGCAGTTTTTTTTTTAAAAGCTTCCAAGCCAGTGCCCCCAGCACTCAACCTACATGACAAGTGTCTTATGGAAACACTCTAATCAAATGTTGTAAACAACCTTATGTGAGAGTTTAGTTTTCGGCATGACCAATACCACTACAGTGTTCAAGAATATAAGGCTGAACAGGTTTCTAAGTATTTTCAGGTCTGATATTGTTATAATAAATATGTAAATTATGTTGTCTTTAATATAAAGATACATAACAGCCCAACCATAATGTGATGCAAGGCTTACTGCGTTCAACCTACACCTTTGTGATTTACTCTCAAAGAAGCCCACACTCTCTCTGAGTATCTCCCAGACCTCAGAAGAGCATGCCGGTCACTTTCAACTCCATTCCTAAACTACCAGTAGCCTGAATGCCAAGCATCTAGGCACAAAGGGATTTAAAAATTCAGAGGCTGGAAAACATACAGTTATGAGTTTGCAGGAGGCCAGATTCCCCTAAATTCCCCTAAAGTCTTATTAGATGCAAGTTGTTTATTTTAAAGTTATTGTGACCTTTGTGCATTGGATCACACTGTTATTATGTGTGTGATCTTTGCTTTCTATTTTGTTGTTGTTTTCAGCTGGCATATAGAAAGGCGGTATACAAATTAAAAGTGAAATGAAATTAATCTTGTTTACCTTGATTGCGTGTATGCATAGAAAAGTGACAGAGCAGTGCTGAGGGAAAGAATCAGATAAACCAAAAAGTTTGTCTGCCATGTTGCTTTGAAGAAAAGAAAGTAATCTCTCCAAAATAGGGCCTGAGGTCAGTTGGGGCCATTGGGAAGCAAAGATGCCTTTTTACAGGATCCTTCCAAAATACTTTGATCTGTTTCCAAAGGTACAAATGCTCCTAACACTTTCTCTTCATGTCTAGACCATGCCTCGTGCAAGATGCACACAGAGCTGTCACCCTGGAAATGCCAGGAAGATTCAAGAAGGGAGGCCTCCATGCTGCTATGATTGTGCTCCCTGCTTAGAAGGGACAATCTCCACTCAGGAAGGTAAGACAGGATATCACCCATCAGCTGATTGGCAGATTACAGCCTGCCTTGCTTAAACTCCACAGGCAGCTTAAACTGCCTTGCTTAAACTCCCTTACCCACCAGACAATTGACAAAAACGACATCACCAAAGGTGGAGACCAACTGGGCCAAGTTTGACCCAGCAGCTAGAAGTTCCCATCCCTGGTCTAGTCTTAACAGAAGCAGCTTTTAAACATCTCATGGATAAAGTTTCTTTAGTCATGCTCCACAAGATCTTTTCTTGGTGATAAGGTCAAGGACTGGGACATTTGCTTTATTCCTTGCCAATAAAACAGTGTTTTTCATACTCTCTCCCACATGTCCACCATTCCCCCTCAATTGTAACAGCACTCAGACCATTGTAGGTGACTGATGTCAGGATACTGAAGTCTCTTTTCCCCTATGCAGATGCTGATGAATGCACCAGATGTCCAAAAGATCAACATCCAAACAAGGAGCAGAATCAATGTGTCCCCAAAACAATAACCTTCCTGTCCTATGAAGAATGTTTGGGAATCCTCCTGACATCCCTTACCCTCTTCCTATCCTTAACCACAGGCATTGTGTTTGGAATTTTCATTAAATACAAGGAAACTCCCATAGTCAAAGCCAACAACAGGGACCTCTCCTACATCCTCCTCATTTCCCTCTTGCTCTCCTTTTTGTCCTCCTTCCTCTTCATTGGCTGGCCAAGGAAAGCAACCTGCTTTTTCCGACAAATTGCATTCAGCATCATCTTCTCAATTGCTGTCTCTTCAGTCTTAGCAAAAACCATCACAGTGGTTCTGGCCTTCCTGGCCACTAAGCCAGGGAACAGGGTGAGGAGATGGCTGGGGAAGGGTCTGGCAAACTCCATTGTCATTTCCTGCTCCAGTGTCCAAGTTCTCATTTGTACCATCTGGTTGGGCATCTCTCCCCCATTCCCAGAATCTGACATGCTCTCCCAGCCTAGAGAGATTATCCTGCAATGCAATGAAGGGTCTGTTGCCATGTATTATGGTGCCCTTGGCTACATGGGCTTCTTGTCTGCCACCTGTTTCACGGTGGCTTTCCTAGCCAGGAAGCTTCCTGGGGCCTTCAATGAGGCCAAGCTGATCACCTTCAGCATGCTGGTCTTCTGCAGTGTTTGGGTGTCCTTTGTGCCCACCTACCTGAGCACAAAGGGGAAATACATGGTAGCCGTGCAGGTCTTCTCTATCTTGGCCTCCAGTGCTGGGCTTCTGGGCTGCATCTTCATTCCCAAGTGCTATATTATTATACTGAGGCCTGATCTGAATATGAAGGAGCACCTGACCACAAAAAATAAGCATGGCATTTGAATCTTAATGCTAGAATGTCTCACCAGTATTTGGACTGGAACCACAGCCTACTTACTAATATCTGGGTTTATTATTTTTCAGAAGGCTCCAGTAGGCATGTTTGTGTCTCAAGCACCTCCCTCAGACTGCAGTGTGCATCCCAACAGGTATTAGGTGATGAACAGATCCAGCAGCGTTCCTGTCAGGGATCCTTCTTCCCTTAGCCTCACTTGTTTCCACACACAAGTATACATGCCTATATTTCTGTAATTAATTCACTGCCACCAATTGCCCCAGAATAGTTCAAAATCTCCTAGTAGTGTTTTTTATTAGGCCTGGTCATGAGATGGGCTCCACCACCAGCCCTTCCTTCAAGTTTGTGTCCCATTCTTTGGGGAGCACATCACCTCCAAGACTAAGATGAGTAATTATTTTACTTAATTCTGCTGGAAGTAGGGAGACCACGTTTCTTGCTAGATCAAATGTAAGCATGAAACAACCACCTGAATCAACATTCTCTGCAATTAATCTTTTGATTTAAAATATTGAATCCACACACCACAAAAACAACCAAAGAAAATCACATCAAATGCAAAAAAATAATAATGTTACATATAAAATAAAGTTCTTCCATATGTTGAGACTTCCATCACCCTCAGTATGGGTCCTTGGTTTCCTTGTTGACTGCATATTGTATGACCTTTAACTTATCATAAATTAGCTATAATCTTTGTAGCATATAACATTGCAGAAGTTAATCAAAGCATGTCAGAGATTTCATATGTGAACAATGTTCTTTTAAATATAATCTGTCTATATCCCATTATTTGTTAAACTTTTGGTTTGTCTGGTTTCTGATTTTTCCCTGTAATAACAACAACAACAACAACAACAACAACAACAACAACAACAATAATAATAATTTGTTATTTATACTCCAGCCACTCTGGGCGGCTTTTTTGGTATCTTTGCCAATTCTACATAATCAAAATTTTTTGTCTGCCTCTCCATTTTAGTTGGTATTTTGTCTCGCTTCCAACATTCTCTGGTCTCCCAGCAGCCTATTGGTCAGGAATGATGGGAGTTGAAGTTGAATAATATCTTGAAGGAGCCTGGCTGGGCAAGCTTGTATTGGAGAGCTTTTATGAATCTTTTGCAGATCCTTGAAAAGTTTGTATTACTTGAACTGTGTTCATTTTACAGATTAAATGTGTTTAATGTGCATGTTGATTTTCTCCTTCCTTCCTTTGGGATATTGAATAGGTCAGCCTGTTAAGCATTCAAGTTATTGATTGTTGAAAATTTGAGGACTGTAAGTGGCATGATCCCAATGTTTTTAATTATAAACAATTTAAACTCCTAATAAAATCATCATCATCGTTGTTGTTGTTTAGTCGTTTAGTCGTGTCTGACTCTTTGTGACCCCATGGACCAGAGCACGCCAGGTACTCCTGTCTTCCACTGCCTCCCGCAGTTTGATCAAACTCATGCTGGTAGCTTCGAGAACACTGTCCAACCATCTCGTCCTCTGCCATCCCCTTTTCCATCATACCGTAGACTAATATTGACATTTAGCAATAATAACAATTGGAGAGCCCCCTTTAACTTTTTGTGTGGAAGGGGAAATGAATGAACTTGAGTTGTCTGAAGATTGGGGAAATATTGCCTAGTGAACATGGGTACCATCCTGGAGTGAGCACTTCAAATATTCTGAATAGCTTTTAAAGATATAATCGATGGGCGGAGAATCGGAAGTCCACTCTATTTCTTTCTCTCTTCCCTCTTTTTTCTTTCTCTTTTGAAATTCTTGTTCTCTTCCAGTTTCTTCTTATTTCTTTTTCTTTTTCTCTGCTTTGCTTTTGCTTATGTTTTCTTTTCTTTTGTTTACGTCCTCAACTCTGGTTTAGTGAGGCACATGAAGGTGATGGCTGGCCTGTGTGAAAGACCCTGTGTGACTCCTTTGAGAGAGGGCTTTGTATTTTCTTCTATCTTACTCTTTTCTTTCTTTTCTTTTCCTTGTTTCATTTTTATTTTTATGTAGATTAGTTTGTTTTTTATACTACAGGCAGCCCCCCATGTATGTGGGGTAACATTCCAAGGCAACACACACATTGGTGTATAATTGAAACACCTAATGTCCGGATTTTCCCAGACTTTGCCGGGATTTCAGAGGTGAAATTGACATCCAGGGGGAATTTCTGAAAAGCGGCGCTTTGTCCTGTATCTTAGAGAAGCATCAAAAAATTGCAGACATCAGGGTGTGCTGGTTTTTATTTTTTGAAACATGGCAAGCCTGGTTAAAAGAATTCTGAGGGGAGTCTCTAAGAGAAACCAATGTGGCTCTCCATTACCCATTTAGATGCCATCTCCTCAGATGTCAAATATGGAGGGAGAGAGAAAGAGAGGAAAAAAGAGAGACTAGATAGATATCACACACACACACACACACACACACACACACACACTATAACAATACATACTATTTATTACATAAAATAATTTATTCTATAATAAATTATATATATATATAATAAATTATATATATATGAAGCAGGAAATATAGTCCAGTATTCCTGAGGGATTATTAGTATTATTATTGAAAAACACCCACCCCCAATATATTACGGCCAAATCCACAAGCCCATGCATCCCAGTGAGCAATACAAAACATGTTGTTTCTTCCCATCAAGCTCCAAAGAGATTCTCCGGAAGTTGGGATTGTTTTTCTCTCCTGGAATTAACAAAATAACAGTCATTCTTGCTGAATCCCAGTGGATTTCCACCCAGAAACTCAGCAACAAAGAAATCCAGAGCAAAACATTATTGTGATAAATACGCCCTGAACTCTTGCAAGGCGGGGGAGTGAGATACCGGACAGACACTCCGACGTCTGGTCATTTCCCCCAATGTTCTGAATCCGTGGCTGAGACCTATGGATTTGGTGGCCCCTTAATTCTGTACAAAGTTCAAGTGGGGCGAGGGTCTCTTTCTGCCGTCCATGATTTGGGTTTTAGTTTTTTTGCTCCTTCCTCAGGCTGCCACCAAGATGTCCCTGAGGACCAAGTGTCTCTTGACCAGGCCTTTTGAACTCCAGGAAGACTATTACAGGCCAGGAGATCTCATTGTGGGGGGACATTTACGCTTCAGCAGTGCCATACACACAAATCAGATGTTTATTTTGTCACCCCGAGAACGGGACACATACATTTCTAAGTACGTACATGGAAACTCTGGGGAGGGATTTGGGTTGCTCTAATATCATTGTAGACCAGAGGGCTTGTTCCAGGGATCTGCATCCAGGGAGCCAGTGTGGCGCAGGGGTTAAGAGCAGTGGACTCGTAATCTGGGGAACTGGGTTCGCGTCTCCGCTCCTCCACATGCAGCTGCTGGGTGACCTTGGGCTAGTCACACTTCTCTGAAGTCTCTCAGCCCCACTCACCTCACAGAGTGTTTGTTGTGGGGGAGGAAGGGAAGGGAGAATGTCAGCCGCTTTGAGACTCCTTCGGGTAGTGATAAAGTGGGATATCAAATCCAAACTCTTCTTCTTCTTCTGCATTAGCGATATTGCTTGTTTCCCGGAATGAAAAACAAACCATAAAACAAAGCTTTACGGCTTGTCTTCACCAGATAAGAATCTGACCCGTTGCTTCTTTCAGAGACTTATAGGACTTATGTTTATTTGGTTCTATGTTTTCAAGAGAATCCATCAAGAGTGCCTATTTTGTGACTTTCAGAGACTTATAGGACTTATGTTTATTTCGCTCTATGTCTTCAAGAGAATCCATCAGGAGTGCACGTTTTGTGACTTTCAGAGACTTATAAGATTTCTGTTTATTGGGTCTGCAGAGAGTACATATTTCATATATTTCATATTCTATGTTCCGTATAGATTATATAAAGAGTTTATATTGATTTTGCATTGTTGTACTTGGTCATCGTGCTGCCTTGGATATTACTGAGAATTGTTTGCGACACAGGGGTTTAATTGTCTGGTTACTGAAAAGCAAACCATGGCATCTCCAAATAATTGTCCATACGGGCAGGTGCTTCTGTTTATGGTGGTGAAAGTAACGCCAAAGCATCCCCATGAATCATGATGGGAAGGCTGCTAGGCTCGCCAACAGAAAATATTTATTATTATTATTACTATTATTACTATTTATTCTATGTAAACATACGGGAAAACAATTCTATCTTCTCCTTTCCACTGATCAAAGTGTTGCCTAAGGTTGCCAAGAGCATTCAGAAGTACAGTAAAACAAATTGGCAAACATTAAACTGAACCTGGAGCAGGGCAGATAATTAAAGCAGTCTGCTTCGAATACCAAAATCAAGGGAAAATCTACTTGAACAAAATGAACCTTTGCTGTAATAAAGCAATAAAGGTAAAGGTAAAGGTACCCCTGACTTTTAGGTCCAGTCACGAACGACTCTGGGGTTGCAGCGTTCATCTCGCTTTACTGGCCGAGGGACCCGGCATACAGCTTCCGGGTCATGTGGCCAGCATGACTAAGCCACTTCTGGAGAACCAGAGCAGCGCACGGAAACGCCGTTTACCTTCCTGCCGGAGCGGTACCTATTTATCTACTTGCACTTTGCTGTGCTTTTGAACTGCTAGGTTGGCAGGAGCTGGGAGCTCACCCCGTCACAGGGATTCAAACTGCCAACCTTCTGATCGGCAAGCCCTAGGCTCAGTGGTTTAGGAACACCCCTAGACTTGGAAGTACTAAGCGCTAAATGCACACCAGCTCCAAGTGGTTTCCAAATCTCTCCTCCAACTCCTCCCCAGTGCAGCTTAATTGCACTCTTACACAGAAGTCAGGCAGTGGAAAGCCTGACAAACTGTGCTGTTCTGCATGGTCTACACCTGGTGTACATGCCTTTGCCCTCAAAAGCTGCAGCTTACAGGGAGAGGGAGAATGGACCCACCTGAGGCATTGGCACCCCCCTGCATGCACTCTCAAATGCATGTTGTACTGATTGGACAGCTTTAAAGGGAATTGAACAAATTCATGTTCTATGTCATAAATGGCTGATAATCATGACGGCTGTGTCCACTACTTCTGGTATCAAAGGCAGAGATTTTAAGGCTGCTGCTTACATTTCTTCTCCTTTCCTTTTGAGCAACAACAGACACCCTTTATTTGTTTAGGGTTGCATTTGTTGTAGATAGCAAGCGGGAGGGAGTGGAATGTGATTGTGTGTAAAAGAGATGATTCTGGCTGGTCACTGATTATAATAATAATAATAATAATAATAATAATAATAATAATAATAATAATAATTTATTAGTTATACCCCACACCATCTGGCTGGGCTTCCCCAGCCACTCTGGGCGGATGTAGAAAGAAGAGGCTAGAGAGGTCATAAATTTTGTGTTTTAAAATTTTATTTTTATATTTCGAAAAAGTTTACAACAAATTACAGTAAATAATCAAATAACTTTGGACTTCTCCTCCACATCTCCATGGTGTCTCCAGCTTCCCAACTAATGCTGCTTATTATAGTTATTCTATACCAGGGGTCGGCAAAGTTTACCTCACCTGGGCCAGTTCAGGGGAGATCCCTCCATGGGCTGGACAAAGCCATGCCGTTTCTTCTTCCTCTTTGGCGATCACTCGTAGCCGAGTAAGATTGTCTTCCATAAACACGGTTTTAACAATGAGTCCGTAAGTGACTGTGGAGGCCAATTCTGGATCCACACGTCCTTCCACAGTTGGGACACTGGTTTCTGGGCGGGAGTCGATCACTGTGTGGATTTGCTAAGCGTGCCTTCCTCCTAGCACGGTTCTCCCTTGCATCCTGAGTTCGAGTGTCTTCAAAGCCCATGACACCTTTGGTAAAGGCTGTTCTCCAACTGGAGCGCTCGCAGGCCAGTGTTACCTAGTTGTCACTGTTTATACTTCATTTTTTAATATTTGCCTTGAGACAGTCTTTAAACCTCTTTTGTTGACCACCAGCATTACGCTTTCCATTTTTAAGTTCGGAATAGGGTAGTTGCTTTGGAAGAGGATCATCAGGCATCCGCACAACATGACCAGTCCAACGAAGTTGATGTTGAAGAATGTGTGCATGCCGTTAAACACAAGCATCCTATCAAAGTCGCCAGGCTGCTGCAAAAAATTGAAACTGATCCCACAAAATGTGACTTGATGGAGTTTTGTGGCTGCCATCAATCACAGCATCTTGCCATCTGGCATCTAATGAAAGAATAATATGCCTTTTTAAAATAGTATTTCATTAGAAATGTACTGTGCAATCTTATGCAAGTGATATGGGTAGATTAATTGCCTAAATTCAAGCAGTAAAGGGGTGAAAATGTTGTTAATTGGATTGAGGCCAATTAGCCACACTTACCTTTCACTCCTCTCGCTCCAGCCAGAAGTCTGCCCTTAATGCTCTATGTGCAAACATTTTGGGGGATTTTTTGCCCCAACCTTTCCCCACCAAAAAAACCCTCACTCTTTAAAGCTGAACTGGGGCAAATGTCAATTTGGGTTTTCTACAGATGGACATTTGCTCCAGTTGATCCTCAAAGAGTTGGTTTTCGTGGGGAAAGATCCAGAGCATGGATACGGAACTTTAAATTTAATTTAAATTTAATTTAAACCATGTTTCCCTCCGTCTGGAAAGAACGGATGAAGGTAAGTGGGACATGTCCTCTTTCGGGATTTCCTCGCCTCCTCTGACACAACTCTCTCTTTTTTTTAAAAAAAGATATTTATTAAAGTTTCTAATTTTTTACAAACAAAAGAAAAAACAAACAAAGATATTAAAAACACTTAAATTTCACAACTTATTTTCTTGTGACTTATTTCCCCGACCTCCTCATACTTCCCCTTCTTGTATACCCAGTTTGAGTTGTTTGTACAGCAAATCCTTATCTCAACATCTTATATTATTGTAAAAATTCTTGCTTACAGAAAGAAAGTCGTTTTATCATAGTTACAGCTTGAAACCACTTAATTTCAATCCAGCATCATTCAACATTCCTTAATTTTACAGTATTTTTGTAAATAGTCCTTAATTTTTTTCCAATCTTCTTCTGCCGACTCTTCTCCCTGGTCCTCCTCTGACACAAGTCTCCTTACAGTCAAGTGCTGAAGACCTACCAGCACATCCTGGCCTTGGCATTCTCTGTCAGTGAGGTCAACAGGGACCCCGTGCTCCTACCCAACACAACACTGGGCTTCCGTATCTATGGTGATAACAGCGATGCAAAGAGGACCTATGAGTCCAGCCTGTCTCTGCTCTCCACGAGGGGGGACGTGGCCCCCAACTATCAATGCGACAGTCGGGACAAGCTGTTCTCCGTCATCGGGGGTCTCAGCTCCAAATCATCAATGCCAGATGGCATACCTCTTTGGCATCTTGAAGATTCCACAGGTAAGAGAATTTGTCTGGGGACCCGGGTAGCGCTGTGGTCTAAACCTCTGAGCCTAGGCTTGCTGATCAGAAGGTTGGCAGTTCAAATCCCCGCGACGGGGTGAGCTCCCGTTGTTCGGTCCCTGTCCCCTGCCAACCTAGCAGTTCAAAAGCACAGCAAAGTGCAAGTAGATAAATAGGTACCACTCCGGCGGGAAGGTAAATATATATAGAATATAGATATATATGAATATCTATATTCATATAGTATACAGTATGCTGTCTATTACTATGCTCTGTATTATGTTCTTAACATGATGCTCCATAAAATATATTATTAATGTGGTACACTGCCCTGTAATCTTTTGATAAACAGCAGTATATAAATCAAATAATTAACAATAATAACAGAAATCAAAAGAAGTGGATTACCAATGTAGGAGCAAATGGTTCATGAAACTGGCAAAATTAGCTGCCAAACTATGAGGGCATAATGACGAAGTGTTTAAGGAAGAAGGGAGACCACTGACTGACAATCTATCAAATTATCACCCATATACGTAGTCACGGGCAGGATTTGAAATATAAGCAGTGGATTGCTGAAAGGTTTAACGGTAGTGGGGTTTAGATAATAAAAATGTATGCATTCTAAAACAGCTAATAAAAAGGAGTAAAAAAAGCAAACATCAGGAAGGGATGGGAAGTCAAGAAGAGACTTTGGATGTTAAAAAAGATAGTATATGATGATAAATTCTTTGAAACATTTCTGGAGACTTAATAAAAATGATATTTGGGGGGGACCCCAATAATAACATTACTCCGGTTTTGAGAGAACTGTTCTGGTTGCCTGTTCACATCTGAGCCCAATTCAGTTTGGAGCCTGAACTGGGAAACAAATGCATGAAGGTACTTCAAGTAATTTTATATCTCTCCTGCACAGCCCTGGAATCCTCGGGAGGAAAAGAGTATTAGAAATATTTCAAAAAATCTAAATAAATTTTGAATAAAGGCTTTCTCTTTCCTTCAGCTTGGTTATGGTTCATTCAGCCCTGTTGAGAGAGAGATGCTTCCTTCCTTCTTCCGAATCGATCCCAACGAAGTGTCACAGTACGTCGGGTTGGTCCAACTGCTCCTACATTTCCGATGGAACTGGATTGGCCTCATCACTTCCGATGACGACACTGGTGAAAATTTCATCCGGACTCTGATGCCAATGCTCACGAAGAATGATATTTGTGTGTCCTCGGTAGAAATGATAAATGAACGGCTAATGAAGCGATTAGCAACTGATCTTTTTAAGAAATCTCTTATTAAGTGGCAGAGTAAAGCCATGATTATCTCTGTAGACTACAAGGAAGCAGCCGTGCTAATACATAAACTCCATTTTCTCAGAAGGGATTTCAGGCCCTCACGTGTGAGGGTTTGGATCGCGACAGCCCGCTGGGATTTTGCTGCTCTGGGGGCACAAAAGCATTGGAAGGAACTGGAGTTCTTCCACGGTGCTCTGTCCTTCAGAGTCCACACAAGTGATGTCCAGGGGTTTAATAAATTCCTCTTGGCTTTAAATCCAGCCCGGCCCGAGGGAGATGTCTTCCTCCGAAACTGGTGGCAAATGGCATTTAACTGCTGGTTTCCGATAGCAGGTCAAACGTCTAGAAAGAGAAATTGTACAGGGAAGGAGAAACTAGAGGACCTGCCACCCTCTGTGTTTGAAACAAGAATGACTGGCCACAGCTATGCCATGTACAATGCCATCTACTCCGTGGCACACGCTTTACATGCGATGTACTCATTGAGACCCACTCGTGCCATGATGCAGGAGGGCAAGAAACCTCTGGCTATCCAGCCGTGGCAGGTAACATCGTTCTTTAGATGTATCTCTCTCTTTCCCAAAGTAATGGATCCATTCATTCTCTAGTGTTTTGTCAGGGGTCGCAATACAGATGGAGACAGATTGGTATTTTAAAACCATCCAAAGATCTCAATTTCTTCTGTTTGATAGCTTCACTCTCTTCCTTTCAAGAATGTTGCAACATTCCATAGTTGTTTCCTGGGTGAGGAGAGAAGAGGGGAGGTTTATGAATTCCTGATCTATGATTGCAGTCATGGGATTTTTGTCTATCACATGACAGTGTATGTTTTGACTCCACAGAGTGGGAAGTGACAGAGACAGGATGTTTGTGTTACTGTGTTTCGTGAAGTGGGACTATCGTCCTTTGTTCTTTTTCTCTTTGCTGTCGGATGCTAGAAAGAAAGGGAGCCATGTTGCAGTGCTCCGTGTGTGTTTATATGTAAATAAAGTAGATTAGCCAAAATGCTGAGTTGCTGAGGTCTGTCCTGCGCATGATGCGCAAACTCGCTGTGATGTTCGGGCTAAAGAAAGCTTTTGAAGCTCACGAACGAAAGACCAGGAGGGAGAGAACATGCCAGTCCAGGGACTCAAGTGTAGGCTGAACTCCTGACAGATAATGCCTGTTATCTTTTCCTTTTCCGGGCTTCAAATTTAACTGCATTCTGCTCCTACCTAAGCATGTGGGTTGTGTTATAGCAAGTAGATACCAGCCATGAAAAGCAACCATTACTTGCACTTTCCAGCTATTTGGGGCTGCTGCTGAAAGTTAATTCCATCCCATGGTTAATTATCTCAATGGATGTAATTCCAAAATCTTTGGTCTGTGTTTAGTTCAAACGTAAGAAGAGCCTGTTGGATTGTGCCAACGGCCCAGTTTACACAACATTATTCTTCAAGTAGGGTCAGGTGAGTTAGATTCAGGGGTCTTCATCTCAAACAAAAGCATATGCAAGTTAAAAAACAACAACCCTCTAGATATGTAAATTGTTTATTCTGTTATTGTGTGTGAGCAACCTTGCATACCTCCAGTCAACAGAGGGCAGGGTTGAGACTAAGACACAGTCAGGGAAAATGCACTTCATGATCTCTTCCCAAAGTCCCAGGCTCCACCCCTTCCTCTTCCTGCAAAAGGAACTGAGCCAGGATGAGGGAGGTGAAATCAGGGCCTCAATGAATATCTGAACAGGAGGAAGGGACCAGTGATCAGGAGAGTCAGGAGCTGGATCCTGGGAAAGGTTCGAATAGGGGTGTCCCAACCACATTTCTGCTTGGCAAAAATAATGATCTTGCCTCTCCTTCCTCCACACACTGTTTTGGGGGTTCTCGTGACCCTTTAGAACAGATTTGGGGAGGGTGCAATGGTGCCTGAGGAGGAGAGGGCAACTCCTGTGGTGCTAGTAGGAATCTTTCCTGTGGCTTCTGCTAGAATGACTTAGTTGAATATGGAGGATACGCCTGTCTCAGACTCCCTTCATCAGGCAAAATTGTGTCCCTTGGTCTTAAACTCAACTAAAAACTAGAAAAAATAATACCCCCCTCCCCTCCAAATACCGTTCCAATAGGTCAAGGCTAAACCTCTCCCCTCCTTTGTTCTTCAGATTCTCTCCTTTTTGAGGAACATCCGATTTAACAACAGTGTTGGAGATGAAGTATCTTTCACGGACAACAGTGTGGTGGGATCTTCTGGCTATGATCTTCTCAACTGGATCTATTTCCGAAATGAGTCAACAGCTTTAGTGAAAGTTGGGAGGATGGATCCAGGAGCCCCACGGGGCAAAGACTTCATCATTAACCCAGATACAATTGTGTGGTCTAGCAAGGTGGAGAGAATGTCCCAGAGCTTGTGAAAGAATTAGAGCATGATGGACTTGAATGCCCGTCATCTCCAACCCACATGGCCAATGGTTAGGGATGATGGGAGATGTAATCTGGGAATATTTTGGTGGGTGGGGGAAGGCACAGGTTCCCCAGCCTTGCTCCATGCAGTGGTTCAAAATAGCTTTGACCCACTTACATTTATCACCATTTCCAGCATGCAAAGAGGGGGCCACCATTGAAGACCTCCAAGTCCTGCTTAAAACATTTCTATCCATGCAGAAAACCTTTCATTATATCTGCCTTTCTTAGACGCCACCTTCTGCAAGCTGTGCAAAGATCTGCTCTCCAGGGCAAAGGAGAAAAATCCCAGAAGGGAAGCCGGTTTGCTGTAATGTATGCATTCGCTGTCCAGAAGGGACTTTTTCTAACCAGACAGGTAGTTCCAACCCTGAACCTTATTCTACAGTGCAGAAGTTGCTTGTGTCCAGGGAGGGTTAAGGTAGGGTTATCAGACGTCCCCGGTTCCCAGGGACAGTCCCCGGATTTCCAAATCTGTCCCCCAACAAATTCCATCCCCGGAATGTCCCCAGATTTGCAAATCTGTGCCCAGGACACAGGGCAGTGGCAGCCTCAGCAGCCCAGAGCCAGCCTGGTAGCGCAGTTGGCTCTGGCTGGCTTCAGGAGCAGCTTGCTGCTCGCTGGCGTGGCACCCGCCATTTTTCCTTGCCGGAAGTCCCCATATGATGTGTCTTGTGCACAACATCTGGGGTGCAACATATGGGGACTTCCAGCGAGGAAAAATGGCAGGCGCCACGGCAGCGAGCAGCTCCTGAAGCCAGCCAGAGCCAACTGCACTACCAGGCTGGCTCTGGGCTGCTGACTGCCACTTCTGCCGCTACTGCCAAAGGGGAACCGGGGGCGTCCGGCAGTACAGATCTCCTTCCCCCTTTGTTTTGACTGATTGGGGGAGGCTTGGGAGTTGCAGGCAGCCAGCCGTTGCCCAGTTTTTTAAAAGCTCTGCACATTTATGTTTCACAGAGTGTGAAAGAAGGGCTTTGGACCTTGCCTGGCAGAGAAACCGCGTGCCTTGCGCCCCTCCTGGGCAACGGCCACCCACCCATGACTTCCAAGCCTCCCCTAGTCTGTCAAAACAAAGGGAGAAGGGGGCAGATCATTGGAGAAGGAGTCATGGGCAGGCAGCGCACTGTTACCCAGTTTTTTAAAAACTCTGCACATTTATGTTTCACAGGGTGCGAAAGAAGGACTTTGCACCTTTATACAATATTCATGTGTGCTTGGGCCCAGGGTCTTTTGCCTCACCATCCCCACTACTGACTCCCTGTTGCTACTCAGCTTTAAAAAATAATTTAAAAAATGTCCCCGGATTCATTGGAAAAAATCTGGTAACCATAATAGGCGAGTGCAGTGGTTAAGAGCGGTAGTCACGTAATCTGGGTAACCGGGTTCGCGTCTCCACTCCTCCACATGCAGCTGCTGGGTGACCTTGGGCCAGTCACACTTCTTTGAAGTCTCTCAGCCCCACTCACCTCACAGAGTGTTTGTTGTGGGGGAGGAAGGGAAAGGAGATTGTTAGCCGCTTTGAGACTCCTGAAGGGGAGTGAAAGGCGGGATATCAAGTCCAAACTCTTCTTCTTCTTTTACTGCTTAGCCCTGCTGGCCTCCACATCCCCCTGAATTTTGCTGTAACTAGAAGAATTTTCAAAACGTATTCCAGAATTGCAACATGTAGGATTTGCTATAGTTCTAAGTAACTTTGCAGTTCTAAGTTTCTTTGCAGCTTGCTTCCCTGTCTCAAAAAATGTGTTTTGTAACTTTTAAGATTCTGATCTTTTGCAATAAAAGGTCAAAATAGAGCAGAATCCCAGAGATTTTGAGCAATAATTCAGAGAATAGGGCAGAAGACACAACACAAAAGAATATTTATAACTAGGGTCTACACCTCTGATTTCTTCTCCTGCCATCCCCACCTACCATGTGCACCAGCCTGGTGTGTGTTTGTGTGTGTGTGTGTGTGTGTGTGTGTGTGTGTGAAAATAAAGCTATATTAGAGATACTCAAATAGTGCTTGCTAATTCCAGATGCTGCTAACTGTGCCCAGTGCCCAGAAGATCAATACCCAAGCAAGGACCAAGACCAGTGTATTGCCAAGAAAATCAACTTCCTTTCGTATCATGAGGCTTTGGGATTTGTTTTAGCTTCTCTGGCTCTTTTCCTCTCTCTAATCACCTCTCTAATCCTGGCAATCTTCATTAAAAACAAGGACACCCCAATCGTCAGAGCCAATAACCACAACCTCACTTACATCCTCCTTGTCTCCCTCCTGCTCTGCTTCCTCTGCTCCTTCCTCTTCATTGGTCAGCCCAAAAAAGTCACCTGTCTTCTCCGGCAAATTGCTTTTGGAATCACCTTTTCTGTTGCCATTTCTTCCATTTTGGCAAAAACCATCACGGTAGTTCTGGCCTTCATGGCCACCAAGCCAGGAAACGTGGCCAGAAAACTCTTGAAGACACAATTAGCAAGCACCATTGTCCTAGTCTGTTCCCTCATTCAAGCAGTTATCTGTGCCATCTGGCTGGCAACCTCTCCCCCATTCCCAAACCTGGATTTCTACTCCATGGCGGTGGAGGTTGTAGTGGAATGTAATGAAGGCTCCGTCACCATGTTTTACTCTGTCCTGAGTTACATGGGTTTCCTGGCCCTCATCAGCTTCATGGTAGCCTTCCTAGCTAGGAAGTTGCCTGACAGCTTTAACGAAGCCAAATTTATCACCTTCAGCATGATGGTCTTTTGCAGCGTTTGGGTCTCCTTCGTCCCAACCTACCTGAGCACCAAAGGGAAGTTCATGGTGGCCGTGGAGATCTTCTCCATCTTGGCCTCTGGTGCTGGTCTCTTGGGTTGCATCTTTCTCCCCAAATGCTACATTATTCTCCTGAGACCCAACCTCAACAGCAGAGAGCATCTAATAAGAAAAAAATATCAAGGAGCTTAAAAAACTAAATAGCTCACAACTTCCTATACAAAGAAGCTGGTTGAATTATTCTTTAGCTAACGTGATCAGGTTTATTCGGTTCTTGAAAAATCTGGCAAATCGTGTGTATCTTTTCTGATTCTTTTTGTTTTGTTCATTCAATAAACATAGTGAAAGAAAGAGAATTGGTTTTGTAGTCATATATATGTTTTGAACCAAAGATGAATCAGCAGAATTCTGAACCAAAAGCTCCATCCTTGGGAACTTGATCCTTGGGCAGATTAAATTTCCAGCAGCTATCTTGCAGATGTAGCTATAACCTGCCACTGTTTTGTTTCCCTTTAAATATCAGATCAACACTGGGGCCTAAACTAGTTTGAGAACCTGATTGGTGGGTAATGGGACTTTAACCCCTTGTTCTTTGCTGCAACTACAGGGATGGTGTCACGTACAGATAATCAATAATCTCACAACTGGGGAAAACCAACACCACTATGCTCTCAGAGGAGCTTCCAGAGATGGCATGCCCTTGGCTGTTTAGGGGTAGCCTGCAACCAGGGGTGGTCAGCCTGTAGTCCTGTGAACACATCAGCCCCCAGTTAATTGCATGCAGCCCTTTGTTGTTGTTTTTAAGTCGTTTAGTTGTGTCTGACTCTTGGTGACCCCATGGACCAGAGCATGCCAGGCACTCCTGTCTTCCACTGCCTGCCGCAGTTTGGTCAAACTCATGCTGGTAGCTTCGAGGACACTGTCCAACCATCTTGTCCTCCGTTGTCCCCTTCTCCTTGTGCCCTCAATTTTTCCCAACATCAGGGTCTTTTCCAGGGAGACTTCTCTTCTCATGAGGTGGCCAAAGTATTGGAGCCTCAGCTTCAGGATCTGTCCTTCCAGTGAGCACTCAGGGCTGATTTCCTTAAGAATGGATAGGTTTGATCTTCTTGCAGTCCATGGGACTCTCAAGAGTCTCCTCCAGCACCAGAATTCAAAAGCATCAATTCTTCGGCGATCAGTCTTCTTTATGGTCCAGCTCTCACTTCCATACATCATTACTGGGAAAACCATTGCTTTAACTATACAGACCTTTGTTGGCAAGGTGATGTCTCTGCTTTTTAAGATGCTGTCTAGGTTTGCTGCCCTTAGCCCGAGTTCAAAAGCCCCCTACAGGTGACAGCATATTTATTTTTTATTTTTAAAATTTCTATACCACTTTATATTTTTAATAACAATCTCAAAGCGGTTCACAGCATCTTAAAACAATAAAACAATAGCCGGGCGATGTTCCTCCGGCCTCAGGAGGAGCCTCTTCAGTAGGGCTGGTGAGTCTGGGCCTCACCCCCTAGGCATACTGGGTAGAGAGGAAGAGGGAGAGGGAGAAAGGAGGGAGGGAGGGAGAAAGTAAAAGTGAAGAGGGGTGACTCAACTGTTTTTCAATCTGTCCTGCCCACTGCTGGCTTCAGCCCTCATCCACCACCCAAGGCGTACCTAGACTCCCTTGCACCCTTGCACCTCCTGTCCCATGCACTCTTGGGAGAGAAGCCTGTGTGCCTTGTCTGGCCAACCAGAGCAGCAGAGATCATAGCTGTCAAGTGTCCCTTATTTGAAGGGACAGTCCCTTATTCCAGCGCCATGTCCCACTGCTATCCCTTATTGATAGATGTCCCTTAAATGTCCCTTAAATGATGTCCCTTACATTTCAAAAGAAGCAGCTCCTCTCCCTCCCTTCCTGCCCGCCAGGGAGGAGGGGGGCTTCAACTGTGTTGCTTGGCTGTGCTGCTCACCCAATAAGAGCGACTGGGGGGTGGAGCTTGCATGCCTTGTGTGTGGCTAGTTAATGCAAGCTGAGGGGTTTTTTGAATGCTGGATGCCATTTTGTTGCACGTGCTGCTGCAGACTTTGCAGTGCAAAGCCAGGCCGGGGAGCCATCTTAAGTTGAGGCTGCATAGGCCTTGTGGTGCATGTGATTCCGATTCTATTCAGTTGAACCTCTGGTTACAAAGTTGGTTGGACAGTGTTCTCGAAGCTACCAGCATGAGTTTGACCAGACTGCAGGAGGACAGGAAGACTGGAGTGCCTGGAACAGGTGAGGCTGCAAGTCCCTTCTTTTGGCTGCTGGTCCCTTATTTTCAAGGTTGCTGGTCCCTTATTTTCAAATCTGTAAGCTGACAGCTATGGCAGAGATGCACCTGGGGAATCACACAAGCACCAAGCCGCTCCAAGCCAGAGTGGAGAGAAATGATTTTTGCACCCTCTAGAGCCTAGGCCCTTGTCAAGGGCCTACATGGCCAATCCCAAGGTATGCCCCTTCCCATCACTGCCTAGAGACTCGGCAACCTCATTGTTCTCCCCAGACATCTCAGATACTTCTCTGATCCCCATTTCAGCCCTGGGTTGAGAGGAAGAGAGAACGGTGCTGAACCAAAGGTGAATTGTTCCGGAAGCTCTGCAAACACCATATTGGTACTCAAGATCCCCTCCCCCCCCAATTAATTGGTAGTGGTTGTAGCACTGAGGTCATATGTGCTTATAGTCACTTGCTTTGAAGCATGCTAATTGTCTTGCTTTGATGTCACCCTTATCTGAGAGTTTGGGGTGCTGAGCTCTGAGACCAGAAAGGGAAACTGTAATGTTTGGGTATTTGCCAACTCCAGCCTCCTGGTCAGGTGGCTGGGGTATGCTGCTTTGACCTTTAGCTTGGGTGTGCATCTTCGTGCTTGCGATGTACATTCCGTACAAGTGAGTGCGAGGAGGAACTGGCAGGCTGCATCGCTGTAAACCTATACTTTTCTTAATAAAGGCACTAGAACTGATCACTCTGGAGTTTTTTGACATCCTTCTTTTGAATTCCTGAATCTCAAGACTCACACAAGCTCTTCCTCTGGCTCTGCGGTTTGCAACAAGAGCAAGAAAGGGTGGTCCGTTCACTTCTGGCTCTGACAGGTGGAGCATCCCCGAAGGGAATGGAGCTCTCTGCCGGAAAACTGGTTCCCCATCATGGGATATGTGGGAGACAACTCCACTGGGGGTTCATTACTAAGGTTTGCACCAAATTCCCAACTGGTCAGACTTTATTCAGTAATGCATTACATGACATGACATACTGTAGTACAAAATAGTCTGTGGCTGCATATCTGTTAACACACACCCTATATAGTATATATGTGCCATCTTCTGCCACCTTCTGTTATCCCAGCACCTCACCATCTTTTCACCCAGGCACAGTCCTTGAAAACAGTTACTGAACCCGAGATTTTCTTACTGTATGTGCAGAAGCTCACCTTTTACCCTGATGGCTAGTTGGTTTTATCATAATATACACTCGGGTTCCTCCTAAAGTGGTTCCTACCAATTTTGGCATCAGGCCATACTCTTGCTTTCATATCAATATTGGCCTTATTTCTGAATCACAGAATTGTGAAATCAATAAAGAATTCCTCAGTTACCACCCTCGGAATATTCCCTTTTCCAGATCCCCTCGCAAGGTCCTCTCCCTCTCCTCTTTGCCAGGGGTCAAATGAGTACAGTCATACGTCTTGTTACGTTTGCTTCAGGTTAAATCTTTTCAGGTTGCGTCCCGTGGTGACCCAGAAGTACTGGAAAGGGTTACTTCTGGGTTTCACCACTTGCGCGTGTGCAGACGCTCAAAATGACATCACGTGCATGTGCAGAAGCGGCGAATCACGACCCACACACGTGCCAGACGCGGGTTGCATTCTGCTCATGTTGCAAATGGGGCTCCGGAACGGATCCGGTTCGCAACCAGAGATACCCCTGTATCACTCTTGGCCCACTTGCAGGTGTTTGTAAGCTAGACAGTGTATCCTTGGCCCCGCCCTCCACTGTGCAGCCTTCTTCCCCAGCTGCTATTTGCAGATTAAATATCTACCCATGTATTTATTTAAAAGTTGTCCCCTGCCTTACATGTGTCAGAGGGCCTGCCAGGTGTGCTCTGGGTTGGGCTCCCCATTGTTGGGCCCAGAACTGTTCTGCCATGTTAAAAAAAGAAGTCAGGAGAGAGCTAGGGTCAGCCCAGACAAAGGGTGAGAAAATCCCTCATGGTAGGGAAACAGCCGCGGCAACTCCAGTCAAGAAGGAGCTCAGGCTGGAGACAGAAAGAAAGAGGAACAATGGTGGAAAGGATGGACCCAGATCTATACTCACACAAGATGAAAACAAAGAGAATTAGTACAGAAACAAGAAGTAAGGGTTTAAGGTGGAGAGGCGAGGGGCTGGGAGACCTCATTTGTTTCTGCTTTTGCTGTATAAGGGAATGACATCCCACCAAATGTCAAAGAGAACAACAACTACTAGACTTTTAGAAGACATCTGAAGGCAGCCCTGTTAAGGGAAGCTTTTAATGTTTGCTGTATTACAGTATTTTAATATTTTTTTGGAAGCCGCCCAGAGTGGCTGGGGAAGCCCAGCCAGATGGGCAGGGTATAAATAAATGATGATGATGATGATGATGATGATGATGATGATGATGAAAGAGCAGGAATTGAAAACCAGACAGCTGAGGGAGAAGGGGAAAGAGAGAAGAAGAAATTAAATTGTAAAATGTGAAAATTAAGATTGAAATAAGTTTTGAAATGTTAATTGGAATATAAATTTGTAATATAAAGCAATAAACGGGGGAAAGTAGGACACATCTAGGAAGAAAAGTGGGAAGTCAGTTTATTCGGGGGAAATGTATTAAATTTGATGTAATTTGGTATTGATTGGTTAAAATTTGGAAAACTAATTTGGCAAAAAGAGAGAGAGAAAGAGATAGACAACATTTTTTACGGGAGCTGACAGTGGCTTTGACACTACAGAGAGAGCACTTATCATATTGTAGGCTTGGGTCTGTGAGCAGGGTGAAGAGAGAGGGATATGGTTGTGCAGGATGGAACGTTCAGCATAACACATTCTTGAATTCAACCAACATGTAAATCACCAAGACAAAAGGTCTGTGGCCATTGCAGTGTTGTGACATTTTCATACAGGAACTATCACAGACCATCTTTTGATTTGATTTTTAGCTGTAGATGCTCCTTTGTGTTCAGATCAGGTCTCAGCACGATAATGTAGCATTTGGGAATAAAGATGCAGCCCAGAAGCCCAGCACTGGAGGCCAAGATGGAGAAGACCTGCACGGCTACCATGTACTTCCCCTTTGAGCTCAGGTAGGTGGGCACAAAGGACACCCAAACACTGCAGAAGACCAGCATGCTGAAGGTGATCAGCTTGGCTTCATTGAAGGTCCCAGGCAGCTTCCTGGCTAGGAAAGCCACCGTGAAGCAGATGGCAGCCAGGAAGCCCATGTAGCCGAGGGCACCATAGAACATGGCAACAGACCCTTCATTGCATTGCAGGATGATCTCTCCAGGGAGGGAGCGCATGTCAGAGTCTGGGAATGGGGGAAAGGTCCTGAGCCAGATGGTGCAGATGAGAACTTGGAAACTGGAACACGAAATGACAATGTAATTGGCCAAACTCTTCCCCAGCCATGTCCTCACCTTGTTCCCTGGCTTTGTGGCCTGGAAGGCCAGCACCACAGTGATGGTTTTTGCCAACACAGAAGAGACAGCAACTGAGAAGATGATGCTGAAGGCTGTTTGTCGGAAGAGGCAGATCCCTCCCCTTGGCTGGCCAATGAAGAGGAAGGAGGACAAAAAGGAAAGCAGGAGAGAGATGAGGAGGATGAAGGAGAGGTCCCGGTTGTTGGCTTTGACTATGGGAGTTTCTGTGTATTTCATTAGGATTCCTAACACAAGGCCTGTGGTTAAGGACATGAAGAGGGCAAATGAAGCCAGGAGGATCCCCAAAGGTTCTTCATAGGCAAGGAAGGTAATAATCTTGGGGACACATTGATCTCGGTCCTTGTTTGGATGTTGATCTTCTGGACATTTGATGCAACGGTTTGCATCTGCAAAGAACAGAATTATTGTTGTTGCTGTTTTCTACCATTCACACTACATTCCCAGGGCAGCTTACAAAAACCAGAACAAAACATAAAAAAAGTTTAAAACAAATCAAAATTTATCTATACATCATTATTGTAATGTTTTACTGTTGCTATGGCCATTGGCTAATGCAAATAAAGTTTTATCTGATCTCTATACATCAGTAGTGATGAAAGTACACCCAGATGGTGGACATAATTATCTCATCTGGATGAGCATTCCACATAGTAGGCACCACAGTGTAGAAACAGCTACCTTTGCATGTCAGAATAATCCTTGCAGGTTGTTTAGTGTGCAAAAAGTGGAGTGGTCTATCATCAGTCAGTCATCCCTGCTTCTGACTTGGTAGGATTTTATTGATTTATGCATTTATCTACTCTTGTTTCATGCAGTTTTTTACAAGAAGCAACACCCCATTCTAGTGTTAATTTAAAATATGTAACAATAACAAAATACATGAAACAGGCCAAAACTTCGGTCTCCTGAATCAAAGTTCGACACTTGAGTGACATGTTGGAAGGGATTGGTTGCCCAAAACCAGAGAGCAGTCACCAACATTTCTAATGTGAGTTCTGAGGATTTCCCCCCATGCTGTGTAGGCTTGCTTCCAGATGTCATGGAATTTGACTCTAAGAAAGAAAGTATCTATGCACACATAAGGAAATGCAGAGGAGTGCTCTAACAAGGTACAACTTGTGCATGAACTATAATCACATAGCATTGGGCAGTTATAAATTTCACTTTAAAAATGTCTTTGATATCTGTGTCAGCTTCCCCAAGGGTGTCCCTTTCCTAGATGGCTACCCACCTTCTTGCATGGAGATTGTCCCTTCTGAACAGGGAATGCAATCATAGCAGCAGAGTGGCTTTCCTTCCTGAACCACCTTGATGAATCCGGGATGGCAACTTTCCACACACTTGGAAGAAGGCAAGGTCTAAGCATAAAGAGAAAGACCATTAAGGAAATTGCATGAGGCCTAACTGGTTTCCTGGTGGATTTCAGAAAATGCAACCAGTCAGGGCACTGCTGGAAACCGCACTATACTAGAGATATGAGGGTGTTCTTACACACTAAATTTGGCCTTACACTCTAAATTTGGCCACCTAATTTAGTAACTAAAATTATCTACACCCTTGAAATTTGCCTTTCTTCCCAATAGCTGGACCCTCAATTTACACAGCTTCTCAAGGGACCACCATAAGGTCTTGAAGAAATGTTGGACCTTGGACATGGCATGCATTTGAAGGCAGCTCCACACAGAGCCTGGCACCCTTATTGGAGCTTATGGGATAGGGAACCCAATTAAATGAAAGAGATGATCTCCCCCACCTGATTGAGCCATTTGGGCCACACAATGGCATCCTGGTTGATGGTGAGCTGCAGGTTTGGGGAGCCCTGTCTGTCGAGACTCCCAAACTTCACCCTTAGGACGGACTGATTGGGAAACTTCACCCAGTTCACAACGTCCAAGTCAGCTGCCAGTTCCCCGTTCTCATCCAAGTATACTCCGTCCATGGAAGAATTGTAAAACTGTGAGTATCTCAGGAAAGGGTGGAGCTAAAATTAAAACAGCAACATTTAGAATATGGGAAACTTCGTTACTATCCAGTTCAGCCCATTTCGTGCTTAGAGCTCCTCTGACTCAGAGTTGGAGTCTTTCTAAACATTGAGGGCTTGTCCATAGTGGAGTCTACTGTGTATTCCCATGCTGTTTAAATTCAAACTTAATCTGCATAGTCCACCCACAAACAACACCAAACTTAATGTTTTTCCACTGTAAATTTGGGGATATGGGGATAATCAGATAAGCTGGGGGGAAATCAGGCTTCAAACAGCTCCACACAGGGTCATTTGTTTTGGTGTTCTGTTACTCTCCTTTGCACACCCACTATTTCCACAGTACTTTCAGTTATTTTCTTCCTCCTGTTTCCAGTATGCTTCTGAACGGTGATAAATTCTTTGGATCCCTCAGCTGTACTGAAAACCAGAGAACTGCACCAAGCAAACCACATTCAAATTTCTACACCAGAAGTTGTGCCCCAGGCTGAAAAGTGTGTGCTGAGGAATCACAATTGCTTTCATTTCTTTTCCCACCATGCTTTTAACTATTTCCAGTGTTCTTTTGAACAGAGGTATTTAGACTGCAACCCAAAGGGGAATGTCTACTGCATGAATGGGAAAGACCAAAGTTGTTCTCCATAGTCCAGGCATGGCCAAACTTGGCCCTTCAGCTGTTTTGGGACTACAACTCCCATCATCCCTAGCTAACAAGACCAGTGGTCAGGGATGATGGGAATTGTAGTCCCAAAACAGCTGGAGGGCCACGTTTGGCCATGCCTGCCATAGACTATTTCAAATACATGCAGGTGTGGACTATCCCATGCTCAACATAAAAAAGAAATTTGAGAAACCCTGCTAAATAGAAATGATCATTCCAATTAATGGGATGAGAATATTAAGGCACAAGAAATGTTACACATGTATACCTAATTCTACACTAATGAGCTTATGTGTAGCCTGTTGGGATATTCTGTTCCTCCTGAAGAACAGACGTGTGGAATTGTTGTATGTCACATGTCTGTTTACACTCCAGCACAGCTTGCTGGGTACTTCCGTTTGTGTATAGCTTTTGCTTTAGCTGTCGTGCTTTGGACACGAAGGAGATCAGACATGTTTCCTTTTGTCCTGATGTATCCTGAATAAACTGCTTGTAAATATGTTCACACAGCTTCTGCCACTTCTTTTGCGTAGCGTTTATTCTGCTGAGTAGCGTGCCCTAGCTTCTGAAGCTCAGGTCGCAGATTCATGCCAAGGACTGGAGATCGCCCGGCACACTGGCCGGTGGACTGGAGCCAGCTGGGGGCCTGCCAATTGCCCCCGTTTCCTTGGTTGGTTGCATGCATACACACTTAGTAAGGCTCCCATACACACACACACACACACCTTGGAGAAAGGCTGGGGCTTAGTTTGCCCAGGCCAGTGCCAATGGAGCACCCAAGTGAGAAGGGAGGGAGGCTTAGGAAGAGCCTGCACAAGACCATCTTCCCTGCAGAAAGGAACTCAATGCAGGAGGTAGGACGACTTACTCCAAATGGGCCATGGTAGAAGGAGTTGTGCTAAAGATGGTGGGTGTGACCAGAGGGGCTGTGACCTCTAAGGGTATTATAAGAAGGTATGAAGAAGGACCATTATTCTAATGAATACCTGCCATGGCTGCAGCCTTTGAACTTCCATACGGTCCGTCACCTTCTGTTTATATCTAGATGAATATGCAGCATTTAAGGCATGTGCCACAGCTTGGACAGTGTCGTAGATCCTGTAGCTGTCTAGAGAGAGGATTCCTTCCAGATCGCCTTGAGGCAGCACCTCCTGTTTCTCTCTCTCTCTGCATCTTGTCCAGCCTTTCACGGAGAATGCATGCTTTGAATAGGAGCAATTAAAAGCTTCCTCACAAAACTTCTTAACCGCAGAGGAAAAGGGCATAAAATCATCATATTTTGCCCGTTTATTTGTCTCCAAAAAGAAAGAGAAAATGCTGTGGATGTGTTGGAAAGATAAGTCAGAGTACACTACATCCAAGTAAATGTCCCACATTGCTGTTGTGATCCACACGTTCCCTACAATGGGTTTCACCACCTTGTCAAATAAACCTTGTATAAGTAATATTCCCTCTAAGACATAAGATTTTTCTACATAGTAAACAAATACGTGAACTTGTCTCCACTTGAGGAATGGAAGATGATGGATCTTCTCTTTCAATGTATTCAGTCCTTGGATGCTTTGTGAGATGACAACACAGACACCGCTCTTGATGAGCACGGGTGTCAAGGTCTTCAGGAACCTCTCTCCATTGTCGGTGTCTGGTGCAATGAGACCAATGAACATCCATCGGAAGTGCTGGAGCAGCTTGACAATCCCTGGGTACAGGGCTTCTTCTTTGGGGACCATCCGGTAGAAAAAAGGGAAATGCCTCTTATCATTCAGAACATGAGAAACAAAAGCATAAGTGACCTGGGAAGGGAAGGAAGATCAGTGGGTGGTTTTTTTTGTGTTTTTTTTGTTGCCAACAAATGTATGGCTGTTGTGGAAAAAGCTATTTCCATGCTGAGGAGATTGAAAATAAAAATGCCAATTTCTGTTATCTGCATTCATATTAATGTATCCATTAATTTCCTCAATATTTTTTGATTCCTATACATAATAAACAGTAGCTTCTGAAAGATATTCATTTTCTGATTGGTTTCTACCCACAATTGTTTGTGCCTGGTGATTTTATTCTGTGCCCTGGTGTTCCAGGTCTTCCTCATGTTGGTGAGGATGATATTTGTTGACACGACACAGAACTTCCAATTCCACAATAAATTGCTGCATGGAAGAATCCTTTGTCTTGGGGTGGATCGACACACATGAAAAAAAATATGCTATAAATAGGTCAGAAATTAGATCATTATAACAAACAGGGGGAAACCCTATGGAAAGTCATGTAGAAAAATGTTCTGCTTTCTTGTGCCATCTGCTGTTGTATGTTTATAACACATTCAAATCGTTGTTTCTTTACTAGTGTAGCTGAGTCCCATTGCTTTGAAACCCTGAAAAAAACATTTGAGTAGAAATGGCTATGTGAGGAAAGAAAGGGCGATTGTCCACCAGAAGCAGTTAAAACTCTCTCCAGTCTGTGCAATATTCTTTTAAAAATGAATGCCTGTCTCCAGTTCCACTTAATATCCACCCCACTCAGTTTTTGGATTCTCTGGAAAGATCGCAAAGGGGAATTAGGCTCAGGCTGCAGAAAGTCCCACCCCTCTCCATCCACACCTGTGGGATTTTATAGATGCCCAACAAGCTTGAAATCTGGATGGAGTTTTGAGAATCAGCCCCTTCAAGGATAGCCAGAATGTCATTTTCTTTTCCACAGTTGTAGTTGGGAACGTTCACCTGCCCTGTAGAAAGCAGGTCTAACATGGCATCATACGTCACCCTGCTGTTATAAAAGTTCTCGTAGAAGCTGTAGCCAAGGGTGATGTTTTGTAAAAGCTTTGGATTCTGGTTGATATCCTGAACAGCAAACGAGAAGGAGAGGATCTGCCAGTATCTTGTCTTTAATTTCCTGCAAATATATGGAAATGCATCCCACATTCAATGAATATTAAAAAAAATAATTTCTTGCTTTTTTGACAAGTTGAACTGGATTTAATTTCTGGAATTTAACTTATGCCAGCACTGATCCAAAGCACTCAACCATAACAGCCAAATCATCCTTGATGGTGTGTGTGTGTGTGTGTGTGTGTGTGTGTGTGTGTGTGTGTAAAGTACTGTGGACATGCTGAAAATGGAATTTGAGATAGGAAGAATGAGAAACTCACAGAGACCACAATTGACACATTGGTCCATCCTTAGGCTGAGCCTAAGTGGAAGGTTCAAAGCACTAGCACAGAGCCTGGTCCCTGTTCGATTTCAGAGGGAGAGGGGACCCAGGTTCATCAGAACTTGGCAAAAATTCTACAGCTCTCGGACCCTTTCCTATGGTTTCTTTCAAACCTAAAATATATTTTTATATGTAATCATGCCTAATATACATATTATGTACACATATGAAAAGCAGGCTATGAAATCAATTGCACTTCAGCACTGATACACCCTCAAAGGCTAGAGAGGGGAGGGATTTAGTAGGAGCAAGAAAGAGCCTGGTTGTTGGGGGTCATCTGACTTCATAAAATCAATACAAAATGGAGCAGCACCAATCCCACCCCCACAAAATGACTTACCTGGAAAAGCTGGTGGAAGGAGATTCGTTGAAGGTGTGTGGATTAAGAAACGCTCTTGTGGGAGAAATGACCCCACCAATGAGGTGGTCTCCTGGCTTGTAATAATTAAATGGGTCAATCTGATCCCTCTCCAAAGTTAAGGGGCATTTCACCTTTGGCATCTCACAGTCTGCATAAGGCAGCCACAGCAGCAGAAGAAACACCAGCATCCTATGTCTGCCTGGAACGGCCTCCTACCTTGTGATAACTCAAAAGAATTAGTAGATGAAGCCTAACGCTTTTGCACGTCTTTCCAAACGGTGACGGAGCCCAGCCTAGATTTCCCATCAGAAGGGGGTGGTAGTAAGTCAAGCTCACACAAAGATATTTCTACGCAACTGCCCTCAGTCTCAGACCAAGCTCCTGGTGCAGGCAGGAGATGTTTATGCTCCCATCCTTCCTGGCTCTAATTTTTATGCTTATTTCAGCAAGCTTAAAGAAGATCTTTGGACAAAGCTCCAGAGAGAAGAGAAAAATCACTATGATTTTCATAATTATCAGGGGAAGAAGCACCCCCTGTGCAAGATCATGAACTCTCTGTGTGGCTCCATGCGCAGGTGCAGGGATGGAGAAAAGCTCACAGATGTGGCTCCAGACTCCAGATGCATAATGGAGCGGGCAGCTGAACATGTCTAAAGTTTGGTGCAAAAACACATTCACAAGAGTCAGGATCAAGATTTCTTTTTAGGACAATGATGAGGAAACTTTGATATGCAGACAGAATTAAGCCTGCCACATATCCTCCAACATTTCTCCGATGAAAGTAGACACATCCTACTCTATTGGGACACAGGTGGCACTGTGGTCTAAACCACAGAGATTAGGACTTGCCGATCAGAAGGTTGGTGGTTTGAATCCCCACAATGGGGTGGGCTCCAGTTGCTCGGTCCCAGCTCCTGCCAACCTAGCAGTTCGAAAGCACGTCAAAGTGCAAGTAGATAAATAGGTACCACTCCAACAGGAAGGTAAATGGTGTTTCCATGCACTGTTCTGGTTTGCCAGAAGCGGCTTAGTCATGCTGGCCACATGACCCGAAAGCTATACACCAGCTCCCTTGGCCAATAAAGTGAGATGAGCGCCGCAACCCCAGAGTCGTCCGCAACTGGACATAATTGTCAGGGGTCCCATACCAATAAATCTTTGCTTTCCCATACCAAAGACATGCTTGCCAGCCAAACTTTAAATCATGGCCTTCCAAATGTAAAATATATGCATTTTCCAAGAAAATTCATTCCTTTAACCAACATACGCAAGCTGCCTCATAATACAGTTGCAAGTCCAGCAGGGCAAAGCCTCTTCTTCTTTTTTTATCAATCGGAATTTTATGTTTAATCTGCGGCTTTTTCCCCTGCCAGACAAATTTAGAGATATCTTTTTTCCATTCTTTGAGGCAATTTAGGTTATTGACAATTGGGATTGACCTATAAAGCCTTAAATGGCTCAGGACCGCAATACCTTAAGGACTGCCTCTTCCCATATGAACCTATCAGGACCCTGAGATTGTCTTCTGAGGCCCTTCTTCATATGCTCCCTCCTCGAGAGGTCTGGAGGGGGCAACACAAGATGGGCCTTTTTGCAGTGGCTCCTCGTCTGTGGAATGCTCTCCCTAGGGAGGTTCGCCTAGCACCTTCATTATACACCTTTAGGCATCAGGCAAAAACGTTCTTCTTTAACCAAGCCTATGGTTGATTGTCACCTAATGCCCTTTTAAAATAATCAACCTAGGAATTATAGGTACCGAGATTCCATCAGATCAGAAGAAATTGTCCATGTATGCTACAACAGCTGCTCGGACGTTGTTAGCCCAGAAGTGGAGGAAAGAGACAAACCCACGTAAAGAAGAATGGCAAATCAAGCTGATGGAATATGCCGAAGTGGCAAAACTAACTGGGAAGCTCAGGAATCAGGAAAACAAGAAATTCAAAAAAAGATTGGGAAATGCTTATTATGTATATACAAAATCATTGTAAACAGGACATTAGCAGGATTTTAAATACACTTGTATTGTAACAGAAAGTACAGATAATCTAGAAATATGAAAAATTGGAGAAGTATTGATATGTAGTTGAAAATAGAAATAATAGGACCCATGGAAGTGATGGGGGGGAAGAGCCAAGTGATGCAGGGTAATCTTGATATGTGGGGAATTTTTTTTTTTTTTTGATATTATGATGTAACTATTATTTTTCCCTTTTTTTCTTTCAAAATCTTTGAAAATTAAAATCTTTGAAAATCAGTAAAATAAATAAAAACTATATATATATTTTTAAAAAACTTTTTGTTGGGGGGTGTTATTCGGTTGCCTCTGTTTTGATTTTGATTGTGTGTTCTGTGTTTTTATATTGCAATTTTATCTCGTGAACCACCCTGAGACCTGTGAGTATAGGGCAGTATACAAATTTAATAAATATAAACATAAATATCAGGAACAGTTGTATTCTGACCTCCTTAGTTCACAGAAAAGGCAATTAGGGTGGCCTGGGAACATGGGAGAGGTGTGGGGGAAATGACCACTATTTCAATGACTTTAAAGGGTGACTAGGCAAGTTCATGGAGAGATTAGGCTATCGGAGGCTTCGAGTAAAGATAGCTGTGATCTACCTCCACTGACAGAGGCAATATGCTTATGAGTCCTGGTTGCTTGGAAGAGAAGTGGGAGAATGCTATGGCCTTCATGCCCTGTGACAACAGAATACTGCACTGGCTAGGCCTTGTGTCTGATCCATTGGGGGTCCTCGTGTGTTGTCTTTCCCATTGGTGTTTGTGAAGAGCCTACAGGTAATGCTACTAGGTGGAGAATGGATTTTCCCCCCCTGGCATCCTACTTGAAGCAGCTGATCAAGAGGTGCAATCGGGAAGGTCAGAAATGGGAGTGAGGCTGCAGAAAAGAAGAGGAAGAAGAAGAAGAGGAGGAGGAGGGGGAGGTGTTTGGATATGATATCCTGCTTTATCACTACCCAAAGGTACACGGGTGGCGCTGTGGGTAAAAGCCTCAGCGCCTAGGGCTTGCCGATCGAAAGGTCGGCAGTTCAAATCCCCGCAGCGGGGTGCACTCCCGTTGCTCGGTCCCAGCACCTGCCAACCTAGCAGTTCGATAGCACCCCCAGGTGCAAGTAGATAAATAGGGACCGCTTACTGGCGGGA